TGTACTCCAAGCTGGTGGAAAAGCTAGCTTTCAGGCTTTAGGTTCAAAAAGCCAAACAGTTGCAAAGCATACCAGAAAAGATGCTCTCAAACTTGTCAAGAGTGAGCATTGCTTCAGCAGAAAAGGCTAATCACTAAAGTTTAGAATTACAGAACGTATTTGTTGGAAGAGATGATTGCTTCAGTATATCGGAATCATACTTAAGCAGCTTTGTCTTATTTTTAAAAATTTGCCATATGGCATATAATTGAGTTTTTCACTGGTGGAAAGCACTTATTTTATTGATGTCATTTCACAATGTTTCAATGTTTTTAAGTCTATGCAAAACATGGCTCATTTTTCCAGCGCTCACATTACAGGAGGTTGATAAAGAAATGCATATTGTAGTGATTCTGAAGAAATTAAAGGCTATTCTGTTTGATATAGTTTTGGTCATTGTCTTCGTTGTGGGCAAACCACCTACTTTGGGCTCCGTTAAAGGGGTGCTGCACCGCTATTTTCATGTTTCGGGGTTAGAAAGAATCAGCATTGATGAGTGCATTTCAAACCACAATAAAAGCAAAATGTGCACAGTAACTTGTAAAACCTCCAATTTGCATCACAGAGTAGACGGAAATTCCAAGTACATGTTGCGCCTTATTCTGTAATTCAGAGCGAGGCAACAAAACTTCTGGTGAGGTGAAGCGGCCCTGTTACACTGTTAAAAAGCAGGCTTGTGTATACGTCTCTTTTAATCCAGCAGAAATAGTGCTCTGGATTCCGAGATGGTTTTGCAGATAAACGGAGCTTCTTAACTCATGTTAAGATCATGTTGGAAACTTTCTGCGGCGAAGTGTGTGCTGGACAACCTGTAGTTATTCGCCTGTCCATCACATTAGGCAGTACAGTGACTAGTGAGCACGAAGGGCTGCATCACATCACGATTCGTGGGAACTCGCCCATGGCAAGACCAAGAGTTTGCGACAAAATGGCGACTTGCGTTCCTTTCACCAAGTTGACGACTGTGTGCTCAATTCAAAATGTGTACTTTTTTCACTGTACTGTCAGTGATTTTCTTTTTTGTTACCGGGATTTAATAACCTGTCTGAGAAATTAGGACTGTAGTTCCTCTTGAATGAGATGGGTGAAGTGCTTGGGGAAACCAAGAGTCCTTTGTGTTATTGCCTTGTGGAAAGATTGTAAAACAAATGTTTTTTTTTTTTACCGAGTTAAAGTGGTACTGGATACACGTTGTGCTCATTCCAGTGCTTGTTTTAGAAGGTAATCCATTAGTACTCATTCAGTGATGTTCATTGGCCCTGTAAGCAGACTAATATTGCATAAGCTTTAGACTTACTCCATAGTCCAGGTAATGTTTGTCACTTTTAGAGTGTAAATTATAACTTTTGTCTGTTTTGGTAGGTAG